GCTCATGGTTTTTTGGTCCTGCCACTTGTCCAAGCGCAGCATTTAGCCCTCCACTCCCATGCGAAAACTCAAGACCAAAAACAAATTCCTCTTCGTGCATACCCGTATCGTACAGGCACTTCAACAAGCGGGCCTCTACGGGTCACTGCCCGTCGTGTAGCAGAGCCGACAGACTCGCACCATTTCGTAGTAGCCAAATTCGGGCAGCTGCATGCGCTGGTTCGTGCAACTACACAATCGTATACATACATGAGAAGGACCGATCGGATTTCGTTGGGACAAACCGGCCGCAAAAGACGTAGCCGCAGCACCGGCAGTGGTGCCGGCTGCGGTAGACCGCGATGAACTTTTTCTTGCAGCGTTTGCAGGCCGCGGCGTCACTATCGAGCTCCCACACGGGCTGCGAGTTGAAGCTCGTGATCGTCGGCCGCGCCATGACGCTCGGCGAGTTGGCAAACGCCGGCGATGACGCCGCACGCGCGTTGCGTCCGTTGACGCCCGAGAGGCTCCGGTGCGTGCCAAAGTCGGTCATTGCAAGGAGGGCGACGCGCCGCGTCGTGTTGGACGACGTGTTGACGAGGTGCGCGGACGTCATTGTCGCACGGTTCGTCACCGAGAGCGGCGGCGAGAGCACCATGGGCGACACCATCGGCTCGGCGTCGTCATTCACCGACACGATCTCACACGGCGTGTTGAATGTTTCAAAGCGAAGCCTACGTCATCATGCATGCGTCACTGTGACAGAGCCAAACGTACGTTTGCATGCGGCGGTGTGCGGCATCGTCCATGCTGCGCGCGAGTAGCTGGAGGTCGTCGAGTTGGCGTTCAAGCTCCTGAACCTCACTCTTGAGGGACGAGATCCCAGAGTCGCTGATGGTCGACGGTGCTTTTCCGAGCAAGTTGGCAAAGCTATGGCGCTTCTTGAGACTGTTGCTTCGGGCGCGACCCGTGGGCAGGTCGAACGAGACGGACGAGGACGACGAGGACGACGACGTTAGTGGCACAGTGTTGCCGCTGGCGGCCGTTGGACTCAGAGCGCTGCTCACGCGACGTAGCAAGATCGACGTCTTGGCGGCCGGGTTGCCCGGCAGGGAGATGCTCTCTGGGATCTCTTTCGAGATGGAAATGAGGCGGTGGAGCTGCTGGATCTCGTTGCGCAGCTGCAAGATGCGCAAGCTCATCGTCTGTTCCGACGAGAGCATGCCTGTCAAGCGCGAGAGCTGGTGATCCTGCGTCCGGATCATCGCGAGCATCTCCATTTCACGCTGCTGGAGTCGCATGTGACTAATGGCCTAGGTCATCGAGCTTTGTTGGTATTGACAATGAGTTTGCGTGTTGTACCTTCTGGTACTGGCTCGTCCAGAGCTGCATGAGGCGGACCTTGCTCACAGGAATCATTGGATCGTGACGCTCCGAGTTGAAGAGCGGGTTGAGGTAGCTCTCAGTAGACGCACGCACCGCGTCCCACACGCTCACAGTCGCCACGGTGTCCAAGAACGCGCGGCGCTCCTTCTCCGAGTTTTTCTGGAACGTGCCAAACCTGCCAACAATCGTAACATGACAATAGGAAGAATATTGCAGTATACCAAGAGGTGTAGACGGCGTCCGCGACCGTAGCCAGAAACATCTCGTTGAATTGAAAGTGCGTCGGGAACTGGAGCGTGAGCTGGTAGACCGCATCGAGAAACTGGAGAAAAACCGGCGACGTGTCGTCCGACGTGGGGAACGCACAGCGCTTGGCAAACATGTGCCCAAAGCTGCACCAGTCCTTTTCAACGAGGATCGCAAAGCCCTCGAGCGTCCGGTAGTACGGGTCGAGCATGATTTGCGCAAGGGCGCTGAGCTGCGACGTGCGGTCCCAGCCGTCGCTGCAGTGGACGAGGACTGCGTCGCCACGCTCGAGGTGCGACGCCACCTCGGTCGCGCCTTGGAGAATGCTCGTAATATGCTCGAGCCACCTGCATGACGTCTGTATCAGTGCATGATCCTGATAATTTGATACAAGACCGGCTTTTTTGGAGCGTGCTAAAGAACGTCGTGTCGTCGACTTGGTACAAGGCTTGACTGAGCACGTTGAACGACGTGCGCACGACGTGGATGTTGTCGATGCCCATAAACGCAATCGCTACGGCGCTTTGAGCTCAATACCGAGCCGTTTTGAGTTGAGATAGTACATACAAGCACAGGCAACGCCGTCCCGGTCGTAATGCTTGGCCGACTCGTGGCCTTTGCCTGCGAGTGCATTGCTCTTGGCGTTGATTTCCGGACGCGCGTCGACGATGTGCACGACGGCCGACGCTTTTGGGCGCCCAAGGTCGTCCGTCGGAGCATACGCAGCGTCGCGGATCGCCCACATGAGCTCGCGGTCTTCCTTGTTGTTCATGCGCAGGACGCCCGACTTTGGCTGGCTGGACCGGCACAGCGGCGCGCCCGTGCGCGGGTGCAGCCACGTTAACACGGGGAGGCGGCGCTTGGAGCGGAACTTGGCCGCCTCGGTCAGTGCATCGTCCGACATGGACGTTGGCACAAAGAGGGTGCTTGGGTACGTCGGGCAGAGCTCGTACGACGCATTGAGCTCCGTCTCGCGCCACGCCGGGTGACTCGTCGCGCCAATGCGGCCAAACTCGACACTCGGCACGTACCGAATGCGTCGGCGCCCCGAGATGGCCGAGCCCGTCGGGCTTAGCATCGTGCCGCGAACGTCTGCCGAGTAGCTCGAACGCCTATCCTCGCATGACTTGGTACGATGGATATTTGAAGATGATCGTACTGCGTCGAGTCGCTGAGCAGATGCTGACGCGGGCTCATAGGGCACGCGACACCGTCTAGTCGTTGAGGTAGAAAATTCGATAGCGCATTGCATCGCACCTGCGTCGTGGGAGAGGATGGTATGGTTGAGGTCCGTGAAAGCGCAAAAGTTGTTTTCCGCTTGGAGCCACTCGATCTCGGTGACGATCTGGCCCAGCGTCTTGATGCGCTTGGCCTCCATGTCCTTGTCGCCTTCGCCGTACCGCGCCGAGGCTGAGAGCGACACGTGGTAGTACGCCGCATCCTGCACATGTTCTATAGTGTGTTTCGGAGAGCGGTGTAGGTACCATGTTTTCGATCACGAGGCCGTGCACAGTGCTGTAGTTGCGCTTGCTCTGGGAGAGCGACGCCTTGTAGATCTTCCCAATCGGAATCGTGTGCACGTCTTCGTGCGATAAGCCTTGGACCGGGTGGTACGGGATGAACCACAGCCGGAACGTCGAGAGCACCATGAGCGCCAAGACGCCTTGGTTCATCTCAGTCACATGGAATGTTAGCGCGACCTCTTCGACCACATACACGATCTTCTCGTTCGACGGCAAGACGCTCTCGTGGAGCCTACGCCCGATTAGAAAAGCAAATCATCGCGAGGAAGGGCGTACGGATGCCACTTGCGCGGAATTGGCGCGTAGAGATGCTGGAAGCGCGCGTTGTGCGGCGGAAAGACGTCGCGGGCGTCCGTGCGCCGGGCCTTGTTGAGGAGCACGCGCTCGTCATCCGCGAGGGCAAGCTGCACGAGGATGTGGCCCAGAGGCATCGGCCCTTTGACGAGTTTGCACTTGACGATGGTCGGCTCGGGCGTGTCTTGGATGGCGCTGAGGCAAATGCGGCACGATGCGAGAAAATCCTTGGTCGCCAGCTCGTCCTTGTCCCAGACTTCGCACTCGATGAACGCTAGATGATGCACGATGCGAGGGCGTAAGCCAAAGAAGAAGCGTACCGACAGCAAGGTCCCACGACTCGGAGAGCGGCAGCAGGATCTGCGCGTTCCACTCGGGGTTGAGAGTCTTCTTGCAGTGGCTGGTCCGCGCGACCTCCTTTCCCTCGTAGAGCACCTAGGTTCAGCGGTTCCATGAGGTCGGCGGCCAAGGCGGCATGGCGAGGGCGCGTAGGCAAGCACGTACGCGGACGAAGGGATCGCTGAAGCCGTCGCTGTCGCCAGCCGCAAGGCCCTCGCCGTTGAGGATCGTGAGCAACATTTGAGTGCAGCACAGCACGATGTGATGGGCGCCATATCCGGATAGACAGAGGCCACCGTACACTAAATGCACAGTGATAGACGAATGATATAGTATAGGTGCGTGGTTCGTAAACAGTGTTACCATGGCACCCACTGAGTTTGCACAGCGTTGACCGGACAACACACCAGGGTCGAGAAGAAAGAACGATGCCGATATATACGTAGAAGTAAGCTTAGACTCGAGGTCTCGCGATTCTTTGTTTGAGTTGCCTTCGTTGCTCGTGTCAAACAACACTATTTACGAAGGTTACGTTTGTTATCAGATCTAACGGCGGCGAAAGGTCATGATGCGGCTCGCACTGCTCCTGCCAACGACCGTCAGCGGCGGTATATGCATACATAAAGGGCACTAGCGCTTGATTCGAGCTGCATAGTCTTCTTTTACCCCGATTTCAACGAGACGACGGGCTTGAGCCTCAATGGCAACAGCGCAACGACCAACTGCGTCCGCACTCCGATTGTTCGAGACCACAACCTGCTGGCATTAGCCTCATTCTGGCGTAGAGCATGTACAGCGCAACGTACGCTACCAACGATTTGTTGTTTGCCGCGATCAACGTATCCCAGGTCCATCGCGTGCTTTGTTCCTTTGAAGTCGTGAACCAGCGTCGACGGTAGACGTTTACGCTTGACCAAGTGCAGTACGAGTCGACCGAGACGTCAACTCCGAGCACGACAGCTACGGTTGCCACACAGTCGGCCATGTTTGGCCACCGGGATATATATACACCGTCATTGGCGACGGAATGCCCCGTGCGACTTCGGTGCGCGTCATAATTCCCTTTGTACTCGACGGCAACAATTGATAGCCTCACGGCGTCTCAGCCGAGCCAAGTGTCCTCGGCGTGGTTCAACGACCCACTCAATGTACTCGACGGCTTTGAGACGCGGTTCACATTTCAGGCAAAACACATATCACAGCACACATATATATTCTTGCCGTCTAGATTACCGACCACTCGAAGCGCTGCCTCGAAGTCAAGGACCAGAATTTCAACACAAAAACATACCAGGTACTCGACGCTTCTCGTAGTATACAGGTTTAATGACGGATGCTAGTCGTGCTTTGTGCATGGCGGCGACGGCTTCGCTTTTGTGCTGCACGGCCACCCGAACATGACGAGTGCGCTCGGGCGAGGGGGCATGGGCTGGCGCGGCATATCCAACTCGATCGCTGTTGTCTTTCACACATGGCCGCAATCGAGCGCCACCGACACCCTCTTTGTTGACCACATGAGGTCGGCCTCGCGACCAAAGAGTGACTTCGAATGCATCACTGTAGTGTCTACTTGCAGCCACCAGGAAGCACTGACGCACCAATTGAACTGGCCGTGCCCGTGCCTGTGGACCTCGCCGATGGTTCGATCCACGTCGTCAAGATCACCTATTACAACACTCTCCCGCTGCAATACTTCAACTACTTTGCTGCCTCGACCAGCATTGTCTCGACGCTCAAAGACATTTCCGAGTCGCGGCGCGTCGGATGCCTCGTCGTCTTTCTCGACGATGGAATTGCAAACAATGTGCCACTTTTGGCTGTGCCAATCAACGTGGCCGCAGCGTTGCGCCTTCCTCGCGACTTGGCGTTTGTCGTATGTGGATATGGGAAGCGGGACGAAAAGAACCAAATGGACATAGGGCTTTACAAGTGCGACGGGCGGCGCTTGGGAGAAACACGATGTACTTGCTTGGTACTACTGCTCCCAGGTAATACCAACCACGATTCTTGTCAAGGCGAATGGACTCTCACTGTGTGGTAGCCACCGTGTCTGGATGTGAACGGAAGTGTCGTGAGCCTCGAGTTCGACTACGGGACGCAGAGCCTCTTGGCGACGGCATCGTATAGCACGTCATTGTACCCGATGTTCATCTTCCCCGACACTCTGCCGTGGGCGAAGCAGCGCCAGTACTTTGCCCCCGGCTCGCCCGTCGGTGTCACGACATGAATCCAATCGAAAATCATTTCTTTATTCATAGTGTTAGCTGCTGTATAGCAAATGCAACATCCCCAAGCACAGCAAAAGCAGCAATGACGGTTGCGTGAACGCACCTGCGCAAGGGTAGTGTCGGTCCCACTCGTAGCGTGGGCACATGAAGTCGTGGAGGCCGCAGCCCCACGTCCCGCATACGCCGAGGATACTGCAAAGCATGCGTGCTACGCAAAACCAAATCGATAGAAAGAGATTCCTTCCGAGCCGAGGCAGCGCACCTGAGTTTTCACGACAAAAGTCCTGCGTGATGTAGCTCGACGACGAGAGCTCGGTGCACGAACAGTGCGAAGCCTCCATGGCCGCGACGTGAAGCAGGTCGCT